AACTAGGACGATGGATAAAGTCCAGAAACCCAATATATCAGTGTGTTATATACCATCGTCAGAATCCTATAGTAACTACTTAGAAAAACGGTTATTTACTTATTTAGTTTATGGTTTTACTCAGTACCTCCAGGCAAGTTTCGAGATATTGGTTAGAGCTCTTCCTTCCGTGCCCTTTCGAATTTACTAATCATTCAACCAATCCACTCTTCACAATCCGAGCTATTTACAGCGTTGCTAAATAACCATCATCGGAGGTACAGTGGAAGAGTACGGTGTAGTTCAGAGGGCTCCCAACCTTTCGGAGGAACATCTCGCCTCCATTGTCACTGTCGGAAAATAAGAAATCGGCAGATGTAAGCGAAAACCTCGGCTTGTAATTAGACCCTGATGTTGGAAGTGATATATTCCTCTGAAACGTAGGGATTTCTTCGATCTTCCTTGATCTGTTATTCTACCCTGAGGATGGGGCAGTAGGCATTTTCCCCCGAAACGTCGGTGAGCTTCTGCCTTACAGCACGTTGTCACACTTCATAGTCAGTGCTTCGACAACCTAAAATTCATCTCAGTATTCTTCCAAATCCTACATTCTGGAGATTCGTTCCGTAAGATAGGTAAAGCACGTAGGTCGCGCCATAGCTCAAGCAGTTAGTCGTTGGCTTCCCACTGCGGCGGCCCGGGTTCGGTCCCGGGTCTGGTCAAGTGGGATTTGTGGTGGACAAAGTGGCGGTGGGGCGGGTTTTCTTCCAGTACTTCTGTTTCGCCTGCCATCTTCATTCCACCAAATTCTCCATCATCATAAGCACCCGGAGCAGGTACAATAGGCCAATCAGTGTCCACCGTGCCGAGTGGACCAAGCTGGACTCCACCCCCCACTCATTCATTCATCTATAATCTGTCAGACGACAGGTGCACAGTCTCTTCCAAAACAGTTCCTCCACTTGATGCGATCTAGAGCTTTCTCCTTCAAATGGAAATATCCTCTTCTGTCCCCAAGGTCATCCAGCATCTTCTTACGTCTTCTTCCTCGTCTTCTGGTCACTTCTATCCGCCCCTCTCTCTTTC